TCTTTATGGCTCCATATGGCTGCCAATTTTTACACATCTGCTTATTTCGGTAGTCTGATGTTCTTTGCTTACCTTGACATTTTGGCCGAGATATGAATATTCATCTACGTGTTCTACCTCTATCCCTTCGATGTTTATCATGGGTTTGTCATCTTTGTTTGACATTAGTTTAGTTTTGCTGAAATTCATTTGGTCCTTTTTTAGGGATTCTGTGTGTAGCTTCTCAATAATCGTATTCAGTGCATTCCCCGTGTGGGCTATTAATACTACATCATCTGCGTATTTAAGATGGTTCAAGTATTTTCCGTTAATAGGGATTCTCTTATTTTCCCAGTCTATTGACTTAAAGATACCTTCTAGGCAGTTGTAAATAATGTTGGAGATATTGTGTCTCCTTGTCTTACTCCTCGGTTGATTTTTTACTATTGTATCGATTCCATTATTCAAAGTCGCTATCATTTCAGCTTGTTCGTAAATATATTATGTATTAATATTCTCCACCTGAAGTCGATGATGTTGTTGTTGACTAATGCTTCTTCTATTGCCAACAGTTCTATGATATCAAAAGCTTTTTCATAATTTATAAAGGTCAGACATAATGAAATATTGTATTCCTTAGTCTTTTCCTCTTCTATCAGGATTTTTAAAGTATGTAGATGGTTACAGGTACTGTACCTTTTTCTAAATCCGGCTTGTTCTACTGGTTAATATCCGTTAAATTTAATTGGTCACCTGTTTGAAATAATACTTATATATACCCAGTAACTGCACTGATGATGGACTTATTAGTCCGAAAACGTTTTGTGATGTAGCCCGAAAGGGTCATTTTTAAAACTATGTATACCTTTATAAAGGATTTTTTTAAATAAAAAGTTTTGTTAGACTATTCAATTACAAGTCGAAAGAAAATGTAAAAAAGTATTTTTGAAGTGTGTATATTTTAGGCAATTCCTAGCTGAGCGCTTTCGGCTTTACAAAGCCATCATCAGAGCTATGCTACAATAAAATGTTCTTATAAGTACTAATTGGTAAAGATTATAATTTTAACTTACGTCAATTTTTTAAATACCACTACAAAGGAGAGATCTCATTTCCTTATATTTCAAAATTATGATTTTTGTTGAAATTCTTAAAACATATAAAAAAAACATATAAAAAACCGACACTGGACTTCACAAACACGTTAAAAAAATTGAAAAAATTTTTTGTCATGGTACGGGTGTAAGAACCCGACCATTGTTTGATCTGAGGAGGTAGGCAGAATAGAACTAATGAAATCAAATGTCGGTCCTTTTAAACGATTTTTCAAAAGTGACAGTTGACAAATGTCATATATAGGAAATAGAGATTGTTTTTTAAATTCTTACAAAAATATTTAATGTTTGGAATTACTAATAGTCATCAAAGACTTTCTAAAAATTAAGTGTTTAAATTAAATTTTATGTGTTCATCACATCATACAGAATGACATTAGTTTTTAAATTCACTCAAGTCATTGCTCAAGGTCAATGTATGTTCAATCTGACAGCCATCCTTAAGAAACAAGGGCTCAAATTGTTCAACAACAATATAAAGAAAAAACATGGTATTAATGTTATGTTATCTGATACTTAAGTGTATTGAGAATTGTATCTCTTGATAGAAATTTTTAAGAAATTTGCATAAGAAATTTTTTAAGAATGTATTTTCATGTTTCAATTAAGAATAACTGTCAAATGAATTACAAAATGTTGTAAATTTCTAATAAAGTTTAAAATTTGTTTAAAAATATAAAAGTATGAAAAAATATATAATAAGATTGCATGAGGTCACCCTTCTTCCTCTAAAGTCTCCCATAATAATTTAAAAAGAGGTTTATAATTGCAATTGAGGTTGATTTGTGTGTTTAAGCAACAATCAGGGTTTAGTTTCATTTCTTTGGATATCTCAAGATCTTCCAAGAGATTCATGATCTAAAGTTTTTATTGGGAATGTTGTGTAAAATTTTACTGTTTTCAGAAGGAGAAAAGGAATGATTATTAAATTTAATGTGATATCCAAAGTTTGATTTTTCTGGTTATTGAGGTGTTCTTTGATTCTTTGATTCAGATTCTCATTGTTCTACCTAATAAGTCATATTACAGTCACCACAGATAGCTTTAAATACCACTTCTGTTTAGTTTTTCAACTTTGTCTTTGTCTTGCTGAAGATGACTGATGTTAATTTGGTTTTAAAAATGTTTAATCAGATATTACAAGTACCTTGAATTTCGAAATAACTTAGACCAGTTTTTTCTTTATATTGTTGTTGAACAATTTGAGCCCTTGTTTCTTAAGGATGGCTGTCAGATTGAACATACATTGACCTTGAGCAATGACTTGAGTGAATTTAAAAACTAATGTCATTCTGTATGATGTGATGAACACATAAAATTTAATTTAAACACTTAATTTTTAGTAAGTCTTTGATGACTATTAGTAATTCCAAACATTAAATATTTTTGTAAGAATTTAAAAAACAATCTCTATTTCCTATATATGACATTTGTCAACTGTCACTTCTGAAAAATCGTTTAAAAGGACCGACATTTGATTTCATTAGTTCTATTCTGCCTACCTCCTCAGATCAAACAATGGTCGGGTTCTTACACCCGTACCATGACAAAAAATTTTTTCAATTTTTTAACGTGTTTGTGAAGTCCAGTGTCGGTTTTTTATATGTTTTTTTATATGTTTTAAGAATTTCAACAAAAATCATAATTTTGAAATAATAAGGAAATGAGATCTCTCCTTTGTAGTGGTATTTAAAAAAATTAATATCCGTTAAAATTGAATTGGTCACCTGTTTGAAATAATGCTTATATATACCCAGTAACGGCACTGATGATGGACTTATTAGTCCGAAAACGTTTTGTGATGTAGCCCGAAAGGGTCATTTTTAAAACTATGTATACCTTTATAAAGGATTTTTTTAAATAAAAAGTTTTTTAGACTATTCAATTACAAATAACATAGAATTTTAAATATTTGTTGTATATTTTGTATATGTATGAGTATTTTAAGTAGGAGGTACTAATATTGTATATATTTATTGCATGAAAATTATCTATAAAATGTACATATAATTATAAAAATTATTGCAGTCTTTTTATGACTGTCATAAAGTTAAGCACTTATTAAGGTTGAAAAGAAATACAAGTATATATAAATGAAAACAGTAATATAGGCATTTAACAATAGAATATAAATTCTGCAATAACAAAAGATTCTAAAAATAGATTTTATGTATTAATTCTGGTACAATAAGACAGTAAAATTTTGATGCAAGACGAAAAGAATATAAATATAAATTATGCCGAAAATCAATTAAATGTATTATTATAGTAAACACAAATATACGATTACAGAGATGCTGTGGTATGAGTATTTTTTCTATAGTATGGAGAAATACGAGTCTATAAAACAAAACTGCGAGGTCATAAAAGAGTAGGCAGGTCCATAGTAAGTTATGGGTGTGAAAAATAGGTCATAACACAGAAAACTGTAAATACATCACAATATACAATGTGTTCGACGTGTTGGATAGTAAAATATTATAGATCAGCAAAATTAACAAATAAAAAGCATGTTTCATGACACTAGGATGTAGCGATTACGGTGGATACGTCACGTAGTCCTGATTCATGAGACCAGAATCACGAGATAATTACTAAATGCAAGAATGCAAAGAAAGATGCCAAAAATCTCCTTAAAACATGTTCAAAGTAAAGAACGAGATCTTTGCAGAAGTACTTACTTGGGAGACTAAGAAGGACTGACTTGTGCTGTTGTACCATTGGATGGATGCGTGAGGAAATACGAATTAAACCTGTATGAGATAGGAAAAAAATATTTTATTAAGGTGCACTCAATATCAGAATAATAAAGATATCGTTCATGAACTGAAGACAAAGAATCATTAAAACATTTTTCAAAGTATAGAAATCATACAAGTCATAAAAATCATCATTAAACTGCTCTGTATGTAGAATTGACAAAATAAATGAAGAGAAGCTAATTACAGGAAACAAATTATCAAAGAAAACGCGTAAATAACTATGGACGATTGATATTAGAGATAGAGAGAGGTTTGAATGAAAATGCGTTGTAGAATAATATGCCTAATTATTTTTACCCCTCGCTATTTTATAATTTTAATTTTATGTTACTATTATCAGCTTTTTTGCTTATAGCAAAACGTTTAAACAACTTTTAGATTTTACTATGCTTTAAGTTTATTAAAGTCTTTTTCTATTTCTGCTATCCCTCTTCTATTCCCAATTAAGTCCTTCACAATATTCTATGCATCGTTTAACCAATGTATATATTAAAAGAACACTACCCACAGGTATGTAAAGTAAAGTAGCAATAGAACAATTTACTAGCACAAAATGCTTAAACGTATTTACTCAGACAACAAACTTACTAGTAAAAGCCACATTACCAGAAAATGCAAAAAAAATTATATCAAAATAAAAGATTTGGATCGGCTAATCAGTAGAAAGTCCCGCATAGCTCTAGAGAATAAAGTTTTTCTTTACAAAACAATATTTAGAAGAACTTGGAATAATTGAGGATTCATAACAGATAACTTGTCAAAAAATATTACAGCAAGTTCACCTTATCCGTTCTTCTCACGTTCTCCTTTTGAATAATTATTTGTGTTATTCCTCTACCTCTGTAAAATATTGTGTGATTAAGTGTAGATCCAGATCAATATATTTGTAATTTTTCTTGAATCTGAAAGCACAATTAAAATAAAACTCTAAGTTTACATTTTCATACTAAGTACATATTGTAAATATTTACAGCTTAACGAAATATATATTTTGTAAAAAGCAATAAAGTTTTATTGGGTATTACACATTTTTCTAACCAAATCTAAGCACCTAAAAATTGGTAACAAAGGAACGTGGTTGTTATTCGTTTATGGTTTTATGAAAAATAATTGATAATTTAATCCTTGTATTTTTTTTAAACAGCTGGTAGCTGGATCCGGAGCAACAGAGGAATCAGATGAAAAAGCCAATTCACCAGATGGCGTTGATGGTGAAGGTGCCCAGAAAAGCGCAGATCACCAATACAGCGAAGGCATTCCCGGACCTATCACTAGATTACTTGTCATAGCTAATAGAGGAGTAGCCAATTTAATCCAAGATTTAATTCTCGTAAGTATTTTCTCATTATAACATACTGTATTAATTGTTAAATTTGTTAAAATAAGTTTTGAAAAAAGTACACTTAAAAAAGAAATTAAACGAAATTTGTGTTTAAAAGAATATCACGATAATAGATACGATCCAATACAAATAGGCCGCTTATTTAGGCAGCGTTCTGCAAACTAACTCTACTAAATGGTTCTATTTTACTATATTGTGCAAAGGATTTTGGCGTTAAATTTGTCTTCAAATGATATTAGAGTTACACAATAAGTCATATAATATGCAATGATGGTTTTAGACGGAAAAATTACATATTATAAAAACAAATCACATTTAAGAAAAATGATGTATTCAAAGTTAAAATGGAAAGCGCTTTTTCAAAGCACAATATAAATGGCGCAGTAGAGAATTATGAAAGAGGAGAATACAACTGTACAAAAAAAGTGGAGATGACCATAAAATAATAGGATTTGCAGCTTCCAAGGGCATGGTCTTCGAAGTAAATATATGTACTTCCGTTTACTTAACGCAGATTATGGCTAACGATTTGGATTTAATCGCACGCACCACACGGAGACTTAACGAGATAGTTTTCAAATACTTGACAGCTGCACAAAAGTAGTCTTAAATAACGAGGAAAAAACCAAAATCTTGACGTCGATGCCAAATAACAGATATAGAGCTGGAAATGCCGAACAAAACTTAAGCATAGAATAAATATTCTTTTGGACTAAACAAGCAGGTGAAAAAAATAAATTTAAGCCAAAAAAAACAAATTAACAATATACAAAACACTAATCTACCAGCATCTACTATACAGTACTACCTGTGCTGATATATGGATCAGAAACATGGGATATCTCAACAACAGACGCAAAATTGTCTGCTCGTCTTCGAATGGAAGATACTTCGCAGAATAATGGGCACATTTGTGAGAATGGTATTTGAAAGAAGGCGATATAATTATGAGTTGTACAAGAAGTATAAAGAAATAGTTAATGGTAGATATGTAATATCTTTCATAAAAATAGGTAGGCTTAGATGGGCTGGACATGTGTCCATATCAAATGAAAATTACTCCCACTGACGAACGATATTAGTAGCACCAGTAGGAAAAAGGTGTGGAGTTAGACCTAGACCTATGATCAGCTTTAGACTGTGATGGAGGGATGGTGTGGATGAGGACGCTTGGAAGATCGGAGCAGCAAACTAGCAACGGTTAGTGATGAACAGAAATGACTGGTGAAATAGACTGGGGAAGTTCGAGGCTCAACTAGAACTGTAACACCACTGATGATAATGCTGATTGACGTAACAAAAATAGTTAGAACATGCAGTACATTACCTGCAGTCCCAAATAGACAAAAGTAAAATAGATAAGGTCTATTATAGCATATTAGAAATCAACTTGATTTCTATCAGCCCAAAGAACAGGCAGGCTTAGGGCAGGATATGGCACAAATGACCATTTGCATACCATAAAGATCTTAATAGAAAAGTGCATCGAGTACAACATACCACTGGTTCTTGCATTTGTCGATTACGAGAAGACTTTTGATACTGTAGAGATTGAAACAATACAGGAAGCCCTAAATCAAAGCCGAATAGATTACAGGGACACGACACTAATCAAAAACATCTATTGACAATAATAACCATACAATAAACAGACACTTACAAATATCTGGGACACGAAATAGGCCTAACTTGGGCAGCATTTGGCAAATTAAGCATATTCTAAAAAGTTCAATTCCCATGGGTCTCAAGCGAAAGGTTTATATACCAATTTGTTTTACCTGTACAAACTTATGGAGCAGAGACTTAACACTCACGCAAAAATCTGCGAATAACTCAGAGTTACACAAGAGTCATGGAACGTGCAATGCTGAACGTGAGCCTTCGAGACCACATAACAAAACCAACAAATTAGGCAAAGATCAAGAGTTCAAGACTCATCGAAAGAACCACGTCGCTTAAGTGAACTGGGCAGGGCACATAGCCAGAGCACAGATGGACAGTGACAAGACGTATTATGGAATGGAGGCCCAAAAACTATAAAAGAAGCCGAGGACGACCACCGACTAGATGGACCGATGATATAAAACGTGTAGCGGGAAACTGGCTACAAGCGGCCAGTGTAGAGAACACTGGAAAGAACTGAGGGAGGCATATGTCCAGCAGTGGACGCGATTGGCTGATTGATGATTATAACATATTATACTAGTAAGCATTACCGATTAAGTAATACGATATTGGATATGGGATATATCATTATTATGTAAAAGGCTATCAAAATTCATAATCTAAGTTCTTTATTTTAAGAGTGTATATTTTTTCATTAACCGGTAAAACGATAATAAAATTATAATCTGTAGTTTATTTCACGATTCTCATATATATTATCCGTGCAATTTAAAAATTATGGAACCTGCTGGTCTTTAGTTATAATGAAGAAATATAGAACCACGAGTATCAGAAGCTCACATAACATTGTTTATTTAAAGATAAATTCTAGCAAGGTTTTTAATTTTGCAAGAATGTTCTTAGTTGTTTATAGAGAGTGATGTACAAAAAAATCATCAAATAAGCTGTAGAAAGTTCGACCCAAAAGTTCTAATGAAAAAGAAAAATGGACCAATATGATTAAATAACACTCTACAGGCAAACAGCTTGATAAATTCTAATTTTGAAAATGTAAAGAAAAAGTTGAGTAAGTTGAATACAGTGTCTTAAAAAGTATTTAACAATTTTCACAATGGAGTATGAATTATCAAAAGATAAAAACAACAAAATAGCATTTTGTTGTTATTCACTTCTTCAACTTTATTGTTATTTGAATTTACGGATATCCATTCAAATTTTTAAGTTAATTATATTAATTAGATACAGGGACGCCATATTTACAATTCGACCAGATGAAAAAGTTGAATTTAATAAATTTCAACCAAAATTACATCCATTAAAAAATGTAACTTACAGTGGTAAGGGTAAAAAATTAATTTTTTTAAAAGGCAAAATGACTACACGTAACAAGGACTCTTGAGGAAATACAATTTACCATAAAACAACACACACAGACTGATCTATATATACGCCCTACTATATCATGACCCATCATAAATGCATCATCCCTATTATAAGACCCCTACAGCAGACAAGCGCTACTAACCTTGAATAGACCACGTGTCACATCAGGTTTAGTAATGGAGTGTCACGAGTCACTAACTCAAGCTTCGGATGGTAATACCATCATCCTGAAGTGGGTTAAAGGACACAATAGGAATAAAGGCAACCGCATTGCTGACCAATTATCTAGGAAGGCGGCAGGCCTAAGACTCTTAGGACCTGGGGATCTTTTTGGTTGGTCAACTACAACAATCGCGGAAATTGTCAAATGTCACTCCCATACGCAAACCGTAAAAAGATGGGAGGAAGGGAAAGGATGTAAACTTGCCAGGGAAACACTAAGTAACCTTGAAGAGTCAACATCAAAGAAGTACTTGGGAATGACCAGGAAAAATCTACGTTTGGCAGTTGGTTTTTTAACTGGTCATTGTCAATTAAGCAAACACCTCCACACACTGGGGCTAGTAGACACACCTCTATGTAGGAAGTGTGAACGAAAGACGAAACTGTAGAGCATGTCCTATGTGAATGCCCAGAGTTATCGTTAATACTTGCCCTCATAAGTGAGATGTCTCCTGGTGACTTGTCCACCTTCCTAGAAATGGCAGGATGGACAATGAGCTAAGGGTGACAGCTCCCTGGGAGGATGCACAATGGGTCAATTGTGGCCTAAGTGCTGTGAAACTTAACTCGCCCTCCCTACTCTACAGATAAAAGACCCCTACAGCTTGATGAATCAAACAAATAACAAGTACTGGCTAAAATAAAGCACGTCCTTAGACAAATTGGCTACAAGCAAAACATTATAGCAAAACTCCATAGAAATGAAACAACAACGACAATACAGATGATATAGAAATTAAATAAAAAATATTCTTAATTTTTATTTTTCTTTAATATCTATTTATATAGTATGGGTTTATTTCCTGGTAGGCTTAACGTGTGAATTCTTTTCCTTTTTCCAGGGTAGGAAGCGACAGTAACAGCAAGATTAGTCAGATCATAATATATAGCGTAATGCTATATCCCTCATCCTGCAAGAGAAGTAAAGAAAAAAACACATAAGGTAGTTAGGACACACAATACTTCGGATATGCAATGTGAAACAACAATGCATAAGGCCTGTACAAACTTGAACAAACTAAAGCAGACCTAGAATATGACAGCCAAGAAAAAATGGAACAATATTAATTAACATTTCAAAATTTCTACTTTTCTAACCCTTTACTAACTAGAAACTATCTAACAAAAAATTATAAACCAAGACTAAGTAGAAAAAATTTCAAAAATTGGAAATTAAGAAGATAAAAAAACTCATTATTAACACCAATATGAGGATATATGAACGCTATAAATCATTATTGCCTATATAATATTTCATTATTATCGCTTAGATATATTCAGTTATAATACAAAAAACAGGTTAGCTATTTTTACGAATTCTTGTAATTTTTAGATCCCTTGTTGTTTTTTACAGGTTTCTTATTGGTCTTATAATTGATCCTTTTATTTAAGCGTTTCCAGCAAATAGACTGTTCCATGTAACTTTGTTTAAGTAATAATAAATAATATTCCTTAAAAGCCAACTTTATAGATAGCCATATTTATATGTCTTCCTTGCAGGTTCTTGGATGTACGTTCAACTGGTAAGGTACTAGTTTTACCGTAGCGTTATCGTCGACTTTCTCAAAGTTTTTTAGTTATTAAATTAAGGTCATAATTCTATATTTCTAAGAATGAAAGCATCTTGTATGCTAAAGGTTGTTCAGATTACAAAGAAAATTGGTCATGAGAATCTTGGAATAAGTGCTACTCTTCTTTTCTGGTCCAAGTGAAATTCCGTTCTGTGACCGAAGCTCCTCAAATATGCTTTTTAAAAA